CCAGGTTTAAGGGCCCATACTAGGGGCCCATGGTTTCAACCTTAGAATGTAGGCCCCTCTACTTAGAGGTTCATGGGACTTAGTAACTAGGGTTATAAATAAGGTAACTAGACTTATAATTATTTATAACCCCAATTAGGGTACTTATAACCTTACTTACTAAGTCCCCTGATCCTCCAAGTAGACCCTAAACCCTAAACCCTAATAGTACCCCCCCCTCTAGATCCCTTAAAGGGCCCCTTATAACCCCTACTTACTAAGTCCCTAAGTCCCCTGATCCTCCAAGTAGACCCTAAACCCTAAACCCCAAACCCCCTATAGACCCCTTAAAGGGCCCAATATAACCCTTACTTACTAAGTCCCCTGATCCTCCAAGTAGACCCTAAACCCTAAACCCCAAACCCCCTATAGATCCCTTAAAGGGCCCCTATAACCCCTACTTACTAAGTCCCCTGATCCTCCAAGTAGACCCTAAACCCTAAACCCCAAACCCCCTATAGATCCCTTAAAGGGCCCCTTATAACCCCTACTTACTAAGTCCCTAGGTCCCCTGATCCTCCAAGTAGTTTTGTCAGACTAGACGGCCTGGGGCCTTTCATTACAAGCCCCACACTTAGGGTTTAGGGTTTAGGGTTTAGGGTTTAGGGTTTAGGGTTTAGGGTCTGATCCCACACGCGTTAAACAGCTACGTGGCTTAAGCTCTGAATCTAAGACATCTTCAGGTGGGTAGTTACCGTTATAGGAGCCTTATAGAAGGTCTATATACCTTATGGAAGCCTTATAGAAGCCCTCTATACCCTAAACTCCCCACCTGTAGTTTCCTTCAACCTAGCCCGAAGCCCAGACTGAACCCTAAACCCTAAACCCTCAACCCTAAACCCTCAACCCTAAACCCCTAAACCCTAAACAAGCCCAGACTGAACCCTAAACCCGAAGCCCAAACCTGGCTCTGAGGCATTGGGGGCTGTGGCGATGCCGCCAGAAGCTAGGGATTTAGGGTTTAGGGTTTAGGGTTTAGGGGTTTAGGGGTTTAGGGGTTTAGGGGTTTAGGGGTTTAGGGTTTAGGGGGGCGGTTCATCCAACTCCTGCTTATCATGTGGGTAGTTCTCTAAATTAGGGTCCCCTTAAGGGGTCCTTTTTATAAGGGTGCCGTACTATATTGGGGACCCCAAAAAGGGACCCTAATTTAGAGAACTACCCATGTGTCACTCTGATCGTCATCATGCCTTGAATTTAGCAAGTACAAGTAAGACACTCCTGATGACAATAATACTGATACTCCTCGTCATCATCCTCATGATCATCGTCATCATTATCATTGAATCATGGTCTGATCATGATCATCATGATACCCTAAACCTTCACACTACTCACCCTGAAGGTATGCAAGAAAACCTAAATTATTTTGGTACATCCCGTCTAACTGGAGCAGAACCACAAAAGCCCAAACACAACCCTAAGACGAGTCAAGTTAAGCTAAGCACCACTTCTGACTTGTCGGGTATCATGGGGAACTTAAGGTTAACCTTTTGGGTTTATATATCATAGGGATATACTACCCGAAAAAGGTTAAAGGTTACCTACTCTACTACAAGGACTTAGAAGGGTTCTTAGGATTCTTCCGGGCTCCTTTAAGGCTTCATTGTAGTGCCAGAAGCTCCTTACTAGGGTTTAGGGTTTAGGGTCTAGGGTTTATTGCAGTGCTAGAAGCTCCTGACTCTAAGGCGCCTGCCTACTTGGGGGCTTAGGGGACTTAGTAAGTAAGGTTATAAGTATTTTAATTGGGGTTATAAGTAGTTCTAACTATAGTTACTGTATTTATAACCCTAGTTACTGAGTCCCATGATCCTTCAAGTAGATCTTGGGGTTTAGGGTTGTAGGGGCCTTAAGAATTAGAATAGGGTTTTGGGGCCCGTCCTAAACCCTAGATCTAAAACCTGCAGGCGGCTTGGGCACATGGGGAAGTGGCAGGTCGGGAATCTCCACCGGAAGGCTTGGCAAGTCCACGCCAAAGACCTCCACAGGGCCGAATCAACCATCCCGAAATCCTGTAGGTTTAGGGGTTTAGGGTCAGACTTGACTGGGTTTCAAAAACCGGGGTACCTTAATTTTGCGTTTTTTTTGCCTTGCGTTTAGCATGGCGCCAAAAACTTGCACCATACCTTCTTGAAGCGCTGAAAATATAGGGGCCCGAATACTTGCCTATATGATTTCGGGGGCTCCTTAGAATTTTCGCCAAAACCCTAAACAGCAGATCATTTTAGGGACTCCTTGTTATAATTTTTGTAGGATTGGGTCTCGGGCGTTTCGCATTGAAGCTTTAGGAGGCTGTTCAGGAGTGGGTTCGAATGTAGGGGCCTTAATCATTAGACTTGGGCTTCGCGGTATCTTCTACTATAACTATAATAACGAACCCCCAATATAAGTCTGCTATAGCTATAATAAGGAACCCTCAGAATAAGCATACCCCAAAAGAAGAGTCCAGGCAAGACGAGGAATGGTCTCGGGCTCCAATGTCCAGGGTTTGGGCTCTACCTGTAACCGGAGAGACCCGCCTTTTTAAGGAACTTTGCATAGAAACCGTCATAAGGAACGCTAAAAAAGTAGGTCTTTCCGGCTACAGGTAGGGCACAAGTGGCACAGAAAGGCCATGTGTAAACTCTAAGCTCTAAGTCGAACGCCCCGAGACCGGACGCGCTAAATCCCTCGTGAAGAACACTCAACATCCTTGCACTTAGAATCACCCTAAACCCTAAACCCTGAACACGTCTACAACTTAACCAACCCAAATGGGAGTTTCCTGAAACTTAGAGTACCTTATTTTGGGGTCCTTATAATAAGGATCATACTATTTAGGGTACTATATTAGGGTCCCCTATTTTCGGAAACCCCCAAAGAAAACCCACCAGAAACCAAGTCCTCAGGTTCGAAGTCCTAGCAAAGCCACAGTTGACGGAACCCTTACAGAACCCTTAACAGAACCCGCATACGAACCTTAAACTCGTATAAAGCCCATCAGAAAAACCCTGAACAGGATCCTTTTAGGAACCCTTTAAAGGAAGCCTTTTAGATGGGAACCCGTAACCCGTATAGAACCCTTTAGTGGAAAGCCTTTACAGGAACCCCTAAACCCTAGAACCCTAGAGCCCTAAACCCTTTTGAAGCAGCCCGCCCCCGCGGGCCTTCATTCCTTCTTCGGGCGCTGTGGTGCTGACCCCGGCTTCTTCCGTGGTGGTCTGGCCATGGACAGCCGCGTCCAAGGGGTTTAGGAAGTTCAGGGCCTGAGGGTTTAGGGTTTAGGGCTTAAGGATTAGTCTTTTGTTTTCGTGCGGTGGTTTAGGGTTTAAGGCTTAAGGTGTAGTTTTTTAATTTAAATTGTTTTTTGAAAGTGCAGTGGGTTTAGGGTTTAGGGCTTAAGGGGTAGGTTTTTGTTTTGAAAGTGCTCGGTGGGCTTAGGGCTTAGGGTTGACGGGTTGACGGGCAGCTCGAGGTTCAGATTTCGCACGGTGCTCTGTTTGTTTCAGTCTCTTGGAGGCTCCCAAGGTTTCCTATGCACTTCTAAGGATCGGGGACAATTGGGTTTAGGGTTTAGGGTTTAGGTTTAGGGTTTAGGGTTTAGGTTTAGGGTTTAGGGTGGCATTGCCACACTTCTGGTTTGCAAATACATGGCCTGTGCATCTTTCATGCTTGGTGGCTTGGCCAACGACTTGTGGAACTAGATTGGCCCTCCAGCTCCTGAGCTACGCTGTTAACAGGGTTAAGGGTTTAAGGTCCAGGGTTGAAGAAGGGTTCGCTCCTCCAAATGAAGCTTTTGACAATGAGCCATTTGGTGAGGATCTGGCTGCAACGCGGAGGCCTTGATGATTAGAACAAGGTTTTGGTGTAGAGTACAGTACTATGTAACTGTACAGGGACTATGCCTATGCGGGGTTTCCCGCGAGCGCCCATGAGCCACCAAGGCAACCACCACTGTGTCTTCAGACACGGGTTTTAGGTTTCGGGTGTATTTACGGCTCTGCCCAGCCCCCAAACCCTAAACCCTAAACTAAACTCTGAACCTCAAACTCTAAACTCTAGGCCCTAAAACCTGAACCCTAAAACTCAAACTCTAGACTCTAGACCTTGGCCCCCTCTACTTGGAGGATCATGGGACTTAGTAAGTAAGGTTATAAGTACCCATATAACCCTAGTTACTAAGTCCCACGAACCTCTACTTAGTTGCTGAGTTCATAAGCCCCAAAAAGTGTACACTTTCAGTTCTATAAGGGATCATAGAATCCCAAAAAGTGTAAAGTGTACTC